CATTTCTGATTCATGGTGGCTGGGGCTTTCTGCACTGTAGACATCTTCTTGCTCACACATTATAGCTGATTATAGAAGAATGCACGTCTCAAGTACACGTGTTTTCTTTTCATTGGTTGAAATTTAATTTTCTTCTCCAACTGCTTTCTCTAGTTAGATTGTACCTTGTTGAGTCACTTCTGGTGGACTGTTGGGTCGGCTTTGAATTAATATGACTCTACTTTCCTGTGAAAAATTTCTTTGTCTAGATTAAACGTTTCAAATGACCACATTTATATATCGACAGTGTAATTGCTTGAGTTGGTGACACGTGAGTTTTAATTAAAAAAATCAGATCAGATGGGAAAAATGTAGTTTTTCCTTCTTTAAAAGCCTGTTGTATCTCAGACAATTTGTGATATTTGGTGTTGACTGGACCCTTGCATATTGATGCAGACATTTGTTTCCAGAGTAGCCTCCTGACGGGTCTGAATAGGCTTCAGTATATTCTCAATTCTGTGCGTCATTTGCTCACTGAAAGAATTCTGTAGTTGTATATTACTGTGGCCTGAGTAAAGTCTGCTGGCTCATTGTGAAGCAGAGCTAAAACAAGGTTTAGAGCAGAGCTAAGGTTAGTTCACTTTTATAAGGCATTGAGTGGTGTTGCTCCAGATTACTTTAAGGATGTACTCTATGAGAACATTCCAGGTCTTAATCTGAAAGTGTTCTACAGACAATGGGCAATAAATCCTTCTTGTGTGCAGCACCAAATCTGTTGAACTACAGCATTACAGACTCTGTGACTGCTCTTATTTCTTTTTCTGTCTTTTCCCTTCAGCTTTTAATGTATAATTTAGTTTTAGTCTTGAATTTGCTAGTTAAAGTGGTGTCTTTGCTTCTGTTATGTGTATTATTCTGTTCTTAGAGTTTCTTAAGAAGTGCTTATAAATAAATCTGCATTATTAGTCGTATGATTTCTCCTCAACTTATTTGTTCTCTCATTGAGAAGAGTTGGTATTTTCTTTTTCCTAGGAGACTGAGTGATCACTGAAGCGTGGTAGTGGTCCTATTAGAAATGCAGCTGGTGTTTTTCTTCAAGGCTCATAACTGTGTGATTAAATATTTTCTTGCTGTCTCTTTTAAACGTTTACAAGGTAATTGAGAATTTGAAGCGTCTTCTTAGAATGGCCAGAAATTTTAAATGTGGGTAGGTCTGAAATCTGTTACAGAATTCTGCCTGCCACCTGTCCCGATATTTTCTGCTAAATTCCTAGGAAGTACAGTAAATGACCATGTTGTCACTTGCAGTCCCACTAAAACATCTTTACTTTATTATCTTCACTGTTTGCCGAGATGGTACTCTCACCAGAATGATGTTTAGACTGTTTATTGACTTTGGGAAAGGACACAAGGTTTATAATCATTTAACACCCTTTTATTTGCCCTATTCTCTTCTGGGTTAGTGCTGTGCTTTCTTTGGAAGGAGGATATTGTCCTGAACAATGGGACCTGTGAAATTGTGCATCAGTTAAATATAAAACCGCAGTGTGATAAAGAAGCTGTGAATTTGGCAGGAGGGTTTCCAATAGGGAATGACAGCCGCTGAAGTTTCTCGAGAACTCTATCGAGGAGATAGCGATGGGCGAGCGAAGGTTCGCCAGCTGCCAGCGTTATTCCACTCCTTCCTGTCAAATAACACTGGAACTACATGCCCCGGCCTCTGCCCACACGCCAAATGCTGCCCACCCACTGCCTGTTAGCTCAGCTTGAAATCCCAGCTTGACAAATCCTACACAGCTACCTGAGGCTGTGACGACCTGCAGTGGCTAATTTCTAATGTGAATGGACCTGTTTTTTTTAAAGCCACAGAGCCTCTGTTTTCGCTGAGCCACACTGCTCTCTGTTGGTGTGCGTTGCGCCCTGATTTTGAACAGTCATAAGAGAGCCATCCTGTATGTCAATTTGTTTTTCCCAAGCTGTTGGTCACAATCCTTTTTACAGTATGTGACTGCCAACCGACAGGCCTACCATGCAAATTACTACTGAAGGATCGAATGTGTTGTACAATTGAATTTCCATTTGGGGAATCTAACTAATCTAATCTTCTCTTTTTAATTTCTCTCCTGAACTGATTATTGACATATAACTTTCACTTATCACTGGGAATGAGTGTTTGCCTGTCGACAAAACAGTTGTACGGCCTGCATACAGTAGCTACATGTATTAAACCTCCATTATCACATTGATTGACATACTGTAAAAACGATACTGCTGAGCCGCTGGCTAGTTCATTATTTTCCCCAGTCCTCTAGTTTAAGCAACAGACGTACAAACAAATGGACATTAAATGATGGTATATAATAATTATGAAACCTTAACCTTGCTTCTGTAGTGATTGCAGTCACTGTGCTTCACACGGTGCAAAGGAGTGCTTATTTGCACGTATGCTCCAATACAATTACAAAAAGAATTACCAAAAACATAAACACAGAACAGCAGCAGCCACAACAAGTTAAATAACACACAACTTAAAATAAAGTATGAGAAAAAAACATCAGTGTGAGCCAGTGGTGGGGGTAGAGTTCAGTAATCTGACAGCTTGTGGGAAGAAACTCTCTCTGAATCTGGAAGTTCGTGCCTTTATGCCCTTATAACGCTTACCAGAGGGAAGGGGGAGAAAAATTAGAAACCAGGATGACTGGTATCCTTAGTGATACTTCCAGCCTTCCTGAGACAGCGAGCTGCTTAAACCTATAAAGAATGGAACTATGAAAAGCTGAGAGAAATTACACTTCTCAAGCAGTAGTGGTCGGAATTCCTTTATCTGGGACACCATCGGCCTCCTTAGCTTTTGCTAAGGATAGGGGTAGACCATGCATCGCTATGCCCTCGGATGGAAATGTTTTCTGAGCTTCCAAAATGCCCAGACAGCTCAAGTGGCAGTTCAGTATGTTAATGCTCCGCTGTCGAGTACGAAGCAAGAATGTGTACAAGAGTGCAAAACTATTTTCTGTTTCTTTCTTTTTCTGATTTTGAAAGAATCGGTTTAGATTACAGCGTGGAAAAGAGGATTTCTGTGCACCAGGCATATTTTGTACAGTCACCCAACAGCATTTTTTTATAGGATCTGATGCATGTGAAAGTGCCTGTGTGCACTCAAGCCACATGTATATGTGTAGTGGTTTACTGTATATAAAGTTCAGCATAATGAAGGGGTTCAGAGTGAATGATAGTAGTGACAGGGATTTGCAGCTAGGTTTTGTAAACTTTTTTTTTTTCATTCTCGCCATATGATGCTGCTTTCTGTTTCAGGCAAGCGTTGCCCATTGTTTTTGCACTTTGACCATTTTGTTCTTATTAAAGATCAAACCACACTGGTGTCCACAGCACAAGGCCGTTGAATATTAATGTCTAGGTGGATCAAGATTGGTTTTCTAAATGTAGCTATTGAACAACACTGAGACACTTATGATATGATATTCACCTTCTTGACATTTTTTAATCCCTCTCCTGCTTCACCAACCTCTCCCCCACCTTATGTACTGTAAACGTCGACGACTAATGAATGTGATGGCTATTGAGCTCCTCGGATTTGTTTTGTGACAAGGGGTTAATGTTTGAGATGATCTATTCCTGTTGCAAAGGATGAGCCCTGCTGTCTCATACAGCATGTTCCATCTTTAATATGCACACACACCAAGGAGTGAGCTGGAGCTGCAGAAACTCATGCTCAGATTGCACATCTGAAGCCTGCCAGCACGAGACACCCACTCACCTGACAAAGTCTCCTGCTGAGCCCACGGCATGCATGTGTGAGCGTTTTATTGGAGTGTGTGTGAGCGTTTTACTTTTACTTTCTAGCGGCACCCAGGCAGGAGCAGCTTCTGCCTTCTGTAGAGCAGTGCTGTCGCGCAAGGTTCTTGTTAACATGTTTTTGAAGGAAGTTGAGCCAGGGAAGGGTCTTTGTACAGCCATTCAAAATTATTTCAGCTGTAACATTTTACTGTAATTTACACTTGTGGTGTGCGCTGCTCATCTTTTAGGGTTGGGGTTCAATCACCTCAAATTTCTCAGGGTGTGGTCCCAGCTACAAAATATCCCCTCCAAACAATGGTGAATTCTGCTACCCCAAAGGCTCCTGTCTTTGGAGAGTTTGCTGCAGGGCAGTTTCTTTGTGCAGTATTGCAGTGTTTATAACAAGCTCAATGAGTCCAGTTACATTCTCCCCTCCAAATTCCTCCTCCAAGTTCTCCAGCAGCTTCCGTGAACCACTGCCATCATTCTCGGGGGTTAGCTAGATGGATACGATGGCATAAGGAAGGAGGGCTCTAAATTACAATAATGGCTAAAAAACTTCTTCTGCAGGACTTTCCATGGGTCTGGGGCTAAAATGTTGCTCAAATAGTGGATTTCAAAAGGACCACAGCTTTTGCCCTGGAATTATCCGTGGAATGGCACCTCTGCAAACTTGATTGCCACTTCCCAGTAAATTCCCCAGCCATCTTCAGGAGGAAGTGCTGACAGTGGTGGATTCCTGCTATGTCAAAAAGATTACCTCCCCTTGCGGGGTAATTGAGGGGTATCATTGAGTACTCGGGGATTTTGTCACCACTGTAGCAGGCTCAATGACCTGAAATATTTCATTTTTGTAGGAAAAGGACAGACCTTTCTTTCCTCCTTCATGCCTTTTCTGGTTCCTTCCTCTGCTGATGCCTTTCCACCTGCCAAGACTACACTCAGAGAAGAGAACTGAATTTTCTCAGAGTTTGTCATTCTGAAAATAAGAGACAGAATTGCCCCCCTTGTTTTCTGAGGCTCATAGACTTGAATTGAAGCGTCTGAGTTCTGCTCTCTCTATTTTCTGTTCTATGCCATTGGGGAGTTCTTGTCAATCAGTGGCCAGTTTATCATCTGGCTCATCACTGAGCAGCAAAAGGTTCTGTTAATAACCAGCATTTGTATTTCTCTCTCATTTTTTTTTGCATGTTCTTCTGTGGATTCTTTTTGGAACACGCCAATAGAGCTGCCAGCGGAAGAAGGTAAATATTGATTTTTCCAGTGTATTATTCCTTGTTCTTCAGAAGCTTTTGTCAGCTCTGAAATAGAACCGATTGTACTCGCATTATACAGTACAAATCTTCTTGGTAAACAGGGTTCCAACCCTCCCCACCTCTACTGACTCTGTGCATACAGGATGTGCAAAGCCGGGCGATGGATTATGGCAGTGATCTCTTTAGTTAAGTCTGTCTGGATTAGTGAAAGGAGGCTCCACCCTGACCAGAACTGAATTAGTTCTATTGCATTGTGATAAAGTGTAGGAACCAGCATCCCCAGTCAGTTCAGTAATCTCCCAGCTGGGTTCCTTGGTTCATTCCTCAGTGAAGCATCACTTGAGTGGTTTGGACAGGAAACAGCATTGGCACGCTATTGTAGACAGTCAATATACATGCATTTTACTGAATTTACATGTGCGCTCTGCAGAATGGAAATACCTAGTTTAATGATTTACTTAGGGATCTAAAAAGTAAAGAGATGCTGCACAGTGGTATGGGGAAATGACAGCACAAAACCTTGAAATACAATACCAGGCATCTGTTGAAGGTTATTTTTATTTTGGTCAGCGCTATGGCGAGCACCATCTTGAATTGATTTCCAATGCAAGCAGGTTCAGAGCTACATGTTGTGGGGAAGCATACTTCAACGAAAACAAATCCTACTAACAGAAAAAATACCAAGAGACATGAAAACCACAACAAATGCGTTTGGTTCCAAATCTCATTTGTTCATTTGTTCTATATTTAATACCTCTGAGTACGGCTCTGTGGCAGCACACTTTAGTATCTAGTTTACATGAAACTTCTAACTCTTCTTTCAAGCAAGCTACTAAAGTGCAGCACAGAGAAGGTAAATACTAGCCAAGGGAAAAAGTCTCTAATTTAGCTCCAGGGTCAGGCAGGTTACAGTAGCAAGAAGCAGACAGTTTCTATACAAGTTAAAGAGTGAAAACGCAGGCCTAGCTGGATCTGGTAAGTGCAGGGACCCCAACAGCCAGTGTAGGTGACTGTGCTGTGATGATGCCGTGCTGAAGCCCACCCCAGGGACGAGCAGTGTTGTTTCCCTGTGTTCCAGGCAAGTCCCTGTGGGAGCTGGTGGTGGAGCAGTTTGAAGACCTCCTGGTGAGGATCCTCCTGCTGGCCGCCTGCGTCTCCTTTGTAAGTACCAGTCAAAGGACTCCCTGCTCGGCAAGCCCTGCCTGTGTCTTTTGTTCTGTGTGTAAGTTTATATCCCAAGGGAAGGCATGGGAAGAGGGGGGCCGACACTGCCAGGTAAGCCGCTTGAGCTCCCTAAAGTGACTCATATAGTACTACTGTATATAATAAAATTAAAGAGAGCAAAACATCACATTTTGTCATCTCTTATAAGGTTTCAGCTGTCTGTTGGAGGAGAGTCTGCACATTAGCCCGTCTCTGGCGGTGGATTGCTGCGCTTGCAGTGCTGTGTCGCGTGCATGGTTTTTCAAGCTGGAATTAGTTTGTCCTGACAACCCCCCACTGTTGAGGCAGGGTGCTTCCCTTTAGTTTTCTGCCTTGGGCTCTCCGATTCTATTCAGCATATTGCAGTTGAATATTCCAATCATCAGAACAGACTGCTTTTGACTGGACAGGCAAATATGTCTGAAGCAGCTACTGCAGGGTACAGACTGAAATCTGCATTCCTGGGAATGTCAGGATACTGTACCTGTCGTTAACAGTATATTGAGAGTTGGTGCCTCAGTTGTGCCCTTTGCTCTACTGGGCACAAAATGGTAGGTATTTTAATGAAGTTGACGGTAAAGCTGGGAGTGCATCACACTTCACAATCTTTAGTGTTTTTCTCAGCTCATGCTCCAGGATGGCTTATACAGTTGTGCTGTGTATTGTGTTGCTTAACCGCCAGCTGCTAGGGAGTTGAATTTCATGTTATGGTCCTGAAGAAAACCACACCACTGCATTCCGGTAGTTGCCTCTTAAGTCCTGCCAACCTGGAAACAGTGTGATCCCAGGGGTACATCTGCTGCTAGGCTCTCTGACTGGAGTTTTTATTCGGAGCTGAGAGGAAGGCCTTTTATAGACTTTGAAGGGTTTTTCTTGACTTGGCCATGAAGGCAGGCTGTCACTGCTGGGTGATGCTACATTGCTTGCCTCCCTGCTGCAGTGTGCAGGACTGTCTGTGAGGCGCTAGGCAGTGCCGGTGATGCCAGCCGTTGGCACACAGGGGGAAGGCTCTGGATGTCTTGAAGTCTTGCCCAAGCTAGCCAAGGTAGGAACAAGCTGGCAAGACTATAAACAGGGTAGTTTCAAGGCTAGGCCTACCCCAGGCAACTGGTACCTGCAGTTTTATTCATCTCCCTGTCCTTCTTTACTCATTTATATTTAATGTTTAGAGCAGGGGAACTTAACCTTTTTCGGCCAGGACCCAAGAATGAGCTTGGGAGTCAGCTTTGTGACCGATATTTCAGTTTTGAATTAATTTCCTTTTAATTCATTTACTGTGGTCTACAAATTAAGTATATAATTGTTACCAAAATATAATTGACGCATAGGAAATGATGTACTAGTATGAAATAATGATGTTAAAATAGATCAATAATTAATTTCTTAGTTGGTTGCACACAATAGTTTTGCAGAAGCACAAATATTTCACAAACAGCACTAAGCAACCAGTTATTGCTACATTAATGTGAACCTTGACTTTGCACAGGCTTTGAAATGTATTGGTCATGTTTGAAAGGATGCATCTCAGGTCAACAGTGGCTTCAGTGGGCTTCAAAGCCAGTTATATTTTTGAAGGCAAATGGTTAAATGTCAGCTTCATGCAAGCAGGTTGCACAAAACGGTAGTGAAACATTCAGGGCCTAATTATTTAACACTGCATTGTTTCACAAACTCAAAAAAACTCAAACTCACTCTGGAATATGAAACCATATCTTTTACTACTGGAGCAGTCTAATGTAAAAGTTTTTTAGTGATTCAGGTGTATTTGTATTGGGGGTGTGAAATGAAACAGTACATTATTTTACTTTCCGACAATTTCTTTGCCCTTTAGATTGCACCCATTTAGGAACATGTTAATGTTACACTAGTTCAACCCAGCAGTGCTGGTGTAGCTGCAGATATACTTGAAGTCTAAAAATATATTATTAAGTAGTTCCCTTCATACTAATTTCTTTGCACAAAAGTTATTCTTTTTTTCTTCATCATGAAGATGGTATTCTGGTTCCTAAACAATTTTTAAACAAAGCTGAAAAAACATTTTTTTTTCTAATTTGTGATGGAAAAACCTCTCTTTTTCATCAATAATTATTGTGATGTAATGTAGTGGTATCTTGTAATAACACAATCATACTTTTTTTCCCCTCTGTGGAGCTAAAAAGGCCTCTGTGCAAACATACTTGTGAAGGAGATAATTTCAATTTATTAAAGAGGATCATTAGGACTTCTATTCACCAAACTTACTGATGAGATTTTTACTATTCTGATACACTTATATCTCATATTATATATTTTTCTTCTACTTGTTTTTAATCACATTTGCAGTTATGGAGTCATGTCCATATGTGTGTCTTTTATTCAGAAGCTAAAGGCAGCTGTCAATTATGTGAAACAAATGAACATTCAACTCTTTTTTCTTTCCAAGTCCTGTGTTGCAGTGCCAGTGATCTTACAAAGATGTCTATCAGATTTTTAATAGACACGTCTTAACAAGATGCGTTTCAACTTTTAAATTGACTTCTAAATTAATCCAGGAAAGGCTCAGACCTACCAGAGACTACCAGTGTCGGTGTTCCACTCTGTTTCTTTTTTCTGGAAGCAAATGAATTTAAAAATAGTACCTGTTTTTGGCAGACAAACAAAAGTAGTCTCCCCCCCCACCCAGCCCAGATCCCCAGAGTTTTCCATCAGTGAGCTCCTGGCTCAGTGAAATCCGAGCCTTTCTCTAAGTCAGTGACTGTGAGAACTGGGACATGTACCTGTATGTCAGCTGGAGAAACTGGGAAAACTGGAATCTTGGTTGATTGGTGATGTCCTTAAGTTTGCAGTAAAAGCCCTGCCTGGCTTTGATCAGTCAGTAGGCCAGATAAAAATCATTGTTCCAAATATGGCTTTTGCATACATACAGTAAATGCTGTGCATTGACACATAAGTGGTGTGTTTCCTTAAGAAGGGGTATCAATAATTAATATCACAAAGCCCAGTAAAGCTTCAAGGAGAATTTGGTTAGAACAAAAAAGCAAGTTTGGCTTAGGTCACCTTACTTGAACCATTTGCATGACTTTTAATATATTTCAATACGGCAGCCCATTTTTCCTTAAATTTGCATCCCATGAGGACAGAAGCAGCTTGTATCTGAGACACCAACAGGAGCTGTTTTGGTTGAATGCAAGTATGCAGGGATTCTGTAGTGACAGGGAACAGTTTGCACAGGATATGAAAGCAGAGAGGGGTTTGATCTTGTGCAGAATATGCGGGCATATTCCACACGAAATCTCGCAGTTCATACACAGATATGATACGTGATATGCATGAAAGGAGTCAAGGAAAATTCCTCAACACCTTTCATGTATTTTGTCTGAATATCAGAAAAATCCTAAATCTGTCTCACAATCCAGATTTGAGATCCCTTATGTGTAGAAAATAGGTACTGTAACGGCTTACACACAGGATCAGTTTGAATAAATTATTTAATTAGCAGGCTGTCTGGATTATATGTAAGCTTGTGTGCATTTCATTAGGGGGTTCATGTTTAGTTGTAACTATTTTTCCTGGCTCAGCCTGTTCCACTATTCTGGAGTCTTTCTAGTTCTGCACAAGATAAACATTCTGTGTCCTGGCCCAGATCTCAGTACATGCAGAGTGTGGCCACCGACACAGCCCCCTGATGGGGCTAGAGTCCAATCAGCTGATCAGCCAATTAAATCATGCCTAGATCCCCACAAGCCCTCTGCTCAGCAGCCCCTGTTTCTGTGCTCTGAACGGATATAAAAGTTCATCTTGATGTGTTATGGTATCTTAGAGAAGTTTCAGGCACTGTTTTTACATAATACTTGGAATAATTAATAGGTGTCTTTTCTCTTTGGTTTAGAATGAGCTGTTATTACTGCCTTTACAAATTAGAAAAAACAGTGGACAGTGCTAAATGCCGCCTAGCCACTGTGCGGTTTGACCCACAGCCTTAATTGCTGACCTTCAAATCTGCTGTTTCTGTTTGATGTACCCTATTAGTCAACATAATTAGTTACAATTTATTAGCGTGAGCTTCAAGTTCTTGAAATGGAATCATCCTAGCTTTTAAAAAATGTCCTACAGATTCCCTTTCTTGTTAGTGCGTACTGTATACAAGAAAAGATCTGTTTCATCAAAATACTACAGTAAATTGAATGAAATAGGATTTCCTTTTTGAACTCTTAAAGAAATGCAGGCACGGGTTTCCCCTGGTGCTCTTCAAGCCAGAAGATATTCAATTTGCAGCCTCTTAATAATAGTCTCTTGGTGGTTTCAAGGTTTTCTTTTATGCAGGATTATTCTTCACCTAAGTTCACACTGTGAAATTTAAGTGAAGCTTACACTCCAGCTCACATGCACTTTCACTTGATCTGACAGATTGTCCAGACAGCTGATGCGGTCATCATGCTACCTTAACTGTAGAAACTTGTGGGTTCCCTTTAATGTCCATTAAGAACTTTATTGAGAGCTTGTATTCTGAAAGTTTGGTTTAGTCAGTGAAGCACATTCTGCATGGATTTGAGCTCCTAACAGCATTCCACACTAAATAAAAAATGTATTTCTAGGAAATGAGTTTAGCATGAGAGCAAAAGAAATAGATGTAATTTTTATCTTTAAGGAAAGTAATGTAGAGCAGAGATTACTGCCTCAATGATTTTAATTCTTATTCAACACTGTTATCCATTTTTTTCTGATTGCCGTTACATTAATGATTGCAAAGGTACTTTGAAAAAGATGTGTGTGTGTGTTTTAGTCTAACATGGCTTCTTAGAGTGAATTTCCTAGTTTCTAAGCAGGACAGCAGGCAGCCTTAGTGCAGGAGAAATAACCATCTTGTCATATCAAAATGTAAAACTAAGCCACCAAAAAAAACATACAAAAACATGACGCTTGGACTCCTTAAACTCCAATACAATTTTTGCCTCCATCAAATCCACACAAAAAGAGGA